ACCAGAAACAGAAACGAGTTAATCCCTGAACGCAGGAACCCAGACCAGACGGGGACCCTGCGGCCCCTCAGTGCGGGGCCGGGGACCCAGGGACCCCTTGGGCGGGGCAAGGGAACCAGAGTGTGGGGGCACCAGGCCCTGCGCCCCCGGCTTCCTGCAATTCCTCTCCGCCAGCCAGTAAAGCAGAAGGTTTATTTAGACGACAGGAACATGGCCCAGGACAGGTCTTGCAGGCACAGACAACAGGACCCCCCTCAGTTAGGTCCATCTTGGGGTCCCAGGGGCACCACAGTCCCATTGGGGGGGTCAGAGCCCCATCTGGGCTCCCTCCAATTACCAGCCAGCTCCTGAAACTCCAACTCCCTCCAGCGTCTCTCCCCCAGCCTCCCCCTGGCTCCTCCCCCAGCCTTTGTCCACTTCCTGGGCGGTGGGATCACCTGGCCCCAGCCCCTGCTCAGGTATCTTCCCTCCAGGCCCATCTCCCATCCCCCAGTGCAGCCCCCCCTGCAACCTTCCCTGGCCCACTCCCCATTCAACCACCACACTGAGAACAGGCCCAGTTCGCCACAGCAGGGCCGGGGACCCCTCCAGCACCAGGACACACCCTTCAGGGCGACGCGGTTTCGCCGGATGGCCATGATTGCGTTCTGAATATCGTCCTCCGCCGCGTCCGAGCTCACCCGGACCTCCTCGAAGTCCACCGGGACGCAGGCCTGCCTGGGGGAGGGGAGAGAAACAGGACGCCTGGGTTCTCTGGGAGGGGAGTTAGACCCTTGGCTGGGTTTCCACGCTCTCTGGGTCAGCACAGGGGGCAGCTGCCCCGATCCCCCCCCTACCTGAACACCTCCTTCACGTGCAGCATCAGCTCCGGCCCGATGCCGTCACCTGGGATCATGGTCACGGTGTGACGCCCCCCATACTTCGCAGGAGGAGGCTGCGGGAAGAGGCGGTGTGAGGGAACCCAGGAGTCCGGGCTCCCAGCCCCCCTGTTCTAACTCCCCAACCCCCACTCCCCTCCCTGAGCCGGGGAGAGAAAACCCAGGAGTCCGGGCTCCCAGCCCCCCTGTTCTAACTCCCCAACCCCCACTCCCCTCCCTGAGCCGGGGAGAGAAAACCCAGGAGTCCGGGCTCCCAGCCCCCCTGTTCTAACTCCCCAACCCCC